TTTTTTATTAAATTTTTCCCTTTAAAGTGTCCCCCAAACCCAAGTGACCTTTACCCCCTCCAAATCACATTTGAACAATCCTTTTTTTTTAGATAGAAATCGCGATTTATGGTTAGTCCCTTTCAACGGTGCAGTTTTAGCCACCGTCGTCGACGTTTATTATGGCTCTGTTCGACTGTCGTCGGGCTTGACTTGCTGGCTTCCTTGGGCTCCTTGGCAATTACAAATGTCACCTTCCACATAAACACATTGTTGTGCAATCAAACGGACCGTAAATAACAGAAACCATCCGAATTTACGAGGCATCCGATTCGGGCAAGGGGCGGTGTTTCTGCAGTTCCGTTGCATGTCCGTCTTCGTTCGCTTTTATTACATCCGGTTTCGTTGGGAGGGAGGGAGGTGAAAGGTGAAAGTTGGAGCGGAGCGGAGGTGACCAAACATGGCCATGGAGTCCGGCGACTCCACAGATGGTGACTTTTTGTCGTTACCACGTCGCTGGAACATTAAAAACGAATTTCAGGCCCCAAGTGGGGTCAATTTTGTGGTGCGAACCACCTGCTCAAAGACAAACTTTCGATGTTTGGCACTCAAAAAAAAAAAAAAGTAAAATAATGATAATAAAATTAAGTATTCTTTAAATTAAGTTATCAAATTATCACATAATTAAATGTAACATTTATTGAGAACTCGATTTAAATCTTATTAAAAGTTTCTTAATTCTATTTTATATATATATTTTTTTTGAAACAAATAACATGTAATTTTTTCTCTGTATTGTCAGAAGAGCTCTTCTCGCATTTTCCTGGCTTTTCTTTTGTTTTCCCTCTTTCTCTTGCTCTCTGGCCTGCAATCAATTTTATTGATTTGAATTCGCATTTGATTGCATTGCAATTCTATCAAGTTTCACTCTCTTTAATTACGTTTCTGTGGAAACTCATAGCCACACTCCCGCAGATGAACTCTCACACTCACACACACACACACACTTTCACAGATAAATACTAGGAAAATCACACGTACTTTTCGGGGCGAATAGCCGGCGTCCATTTTCCACGCCGTGTTGTGCGGAACTGACTAGGAATAGTATAGTATACTATAATGGTGGTGGGCCACAGGCCGATTTGTTTATTTATTTGCTTGCCACATTATCTAGTTTTCCCCGATGCGTTGCTTTTTGTTTTTCCTGCCTGCCGCTTGGTCGCTTTTCTTGGCCATTACCATGGCCATTGCCATTCGCTTGATCTGCGGAAATGGGGAAAATGCGAGAGATGAGCCGTAAGAAATGGCTAATGCGAGAGAACCAAATGCGAGGAAAAGCATTTCACACCCCATCAGAGCTGCACCTAAAAGCTCTATAAATTTAACTCTCATCATAAACTAAAATTGAATTAAAACAAAAAACCTTTAAGCCATGGAAATTACCTTATGTGTTACACCTTTCGTAAAGCTAAACAAAATTTATTCAATATAGCACAGGAAGCACTTTGCTTTTGGAAAAACCCAGAACAAACTCAACTAATATACGCCCTTACGACTAAGTGCCTTTAATTACCCCTGCCATAAACTACCAACTTCCTTTCTCTCTCCAGGGTCACATTACATTTTGTACCAATTACGTTTCGTAGTGCCGTTCCATTGACACTCAGCTCAGAACTAAACTGGAAGTAGAACGTAATGGCTTAATTAATATTATTAACCAACAGTTCTCGCTGCTCGCCAATGACCTTCTAATTAATGTTTTCGCAAGCGATAATCGCGATACTCGCAGCATGGCGTGCCACGCCCCATCCTCTACGCCCATTTGCACGCATCAAATTGAGCGACAACGAATTTCTAAGCGAAACTTTCACAGTGCCGCCAAATTATGAGTTTACACGCAACAGCAAGGAGCTGTGAGTGTGGGGCCTTGAAAGTTTTCACTTGGCACTTGCCTTACCCACACCTTCAACCCTTGAGAAATGGGTGCGGTTTTCCAAGCACAGGGAGAAAAATCTAGCCTACAACTTTATTACTTTGTTTTGTAGAGACTTTAAAATAATTATTTTAGAAAACTTAAACGGCATTAAGCTTTAAAATAAATTAGAAAATCAAGCAGGATGTTAGTTTATTTCAAGAAATATGTAAACCGAATTTTATCAACACTTTTCCCGCAGTGTGCTCACCCCCTAAGGGGCACATCTCGAAGGGAAAAAAGTTGATTTGACTGGCGTCGAGACAAATCACGTTGACTGGCTCAACATGACAGCGCTGCCCCAGGACCTAGGGACCTCCACCCTATTCCTGTCCTGTCTAATGCCAAGGCAAAGCGATGATAAATGAACCCGCTGAAAGTGACACTGATTTTTGGTCAGCTGCAGTTGATTTCCCCTCGAAGCGTGCACACGTTGCGTATGAGTAATGTCCTTGTCGTCAGCCGAGCGATTTCCATACCCAATGCCCTTATTTGATTTCCGCTTCGTGTGTGTGTGGCTGCTGTCGCATTATTGACAATTTTATTAGGCCATTTTTGTTTGCCTGTTTATAATGCCGCCCGCATAAAGTAAACTCGTTAATTTCATAACATATGCCAACACATTTGGATTCCAGGGAGTTGGGAGTGTGGGTTGTGTATCGTGTGTTTGACGATGTGTTTGTTGATGGGACGTTGACAGCATTCATGTGTGTGGCATAAAAACGACATCAGAGCCTGGGGAATAAAAGGCAAATGTGTGGTACTGCAGTCGTTGATCGTTTGTCATCAAGCCTGATTACCTGATTTGCGGCTCCTGGATTTCTAATTGCTAATTTCGTTTTATTGAAATGAAAATACTACGACTTCTTTACTACCATCTGAAAATTAAGATGGTTTATTGAAATAAATAAATAAATTCCTAAAAACTCCTAAATGTCTTATATTTCATCCTTATTTTCCCCATTCACCTTCTGATACATCCGATTAAACCTTATCACCTGTAAACCAACTGCAATCCAAGGCAAATCGGCTTTTCTCTTTATCAATTTTAAACAGAAATGGCCTCCATTCGAACATTTGTACGCATTACACTCGAAATCAATGCTCTCTTCACTCGTTCTGCCTCTTAAACTACATTTCTTTTACTATTTCTGCATAATTTTGCCGTTTTTCGGTTTTTGGAGAGTGGAAAATCCATTTATGCAATGCACGCAAGTGCCAACTATGCAAATTCAACGCCACTAGAGCCTTGCAGGGAAAATAAGAGAGAGAGAAAAAAGAAAACATTGATTACACTTCAAGAGTCAGTTGGGGGAATTTGCATATTTTTTTTGTACAGGAAATATACAGAATCGGTAAATCAGGTCAAGTGGAGGGGGAGTTGGAGTTATTAAGTGGAAGAAAGAGATATGTATCTCAAGATCAATATGTGTTTGAATGCGGAATTTGTGTGGCCTTGGATATTATAGTTCTATTCTTAGTTTGTAATTTTTCATCATTGGTACAATTTAAGCAAGTTAAAGTATAGGGGTTTTGTGTTTTGTCTTGTAAGTTTTCTTTTATAGTTTTAGGTCAAAAGTTTCTTGGCAAAATCTAAGGAAAAGTTTTTTCATTTCGACCATTTATTTCGACTTCAATTTGCGTAAATAAATAAATGTCAAACAGTCGCCAAAAATATATGCTTAGCTGAACTTTGGTCAAAGATTATAGTTTTAAAAAGAACTTCTGTAACATTAACTTAACTTAAGGTGGCTAAAAAATATATCCTTAAACTTAAAACCTTGTCACATCTTTTACCTTCAGTACTAACGAAAAATATATTTTAAATTCCAAAAGTTTTTGCCTTGTCTTGCATAAATTAGGAGCCACAGCAGGTTATTTAAGTCAATTTGAATCAGTTAGAATAAAGTGAAAACTTTAGCCTCATGTTCCAAGTATTTATTTTCAGTTTTCCTTAAAAGTTTTTCGGAAAAAATGTAGTTCACCTTGCTCCCACATTTTTTCTACATAAATTAATGTCAAACACTGTGCCATATGCCCATAAAAGTGTACTTGGGGGCCCAAAATTTGTTTTCCCCCAAAAAGTTCAAAGTTCAGACGCGTGCCCGTGGAACATGACTGACTGACAATCAACAGTTTGCCATTTGCCATTACCCTACGTCCTACGGAAATGCCAAAAGTAAGCAAAAGCATTTAAGCTAAAGATTTCTTCCTTTTGCTCTTCATATTTTCGGACCCTCCATTGACGATAATTGCGAGGGCGGCGCGGCGTCCACTAAGACATTGAGAACGCTCCATTGAACAAGTCCTCGTAAATCAAACGCAATGAGCTCTGTGAATCTTGGGTGGAAACTTTGCCAGGACATCCGCCCACGAATGCCCAACATCCAAGCTCCAATCTGGACAAAGTGCTCTTAAAATTCGATGAGCTGAGCTAATCGCGTTCGCTGTTGGCTCAGCTGGGCTCACTCAATCAACGGGTGGGCGGCATTGTTGGCTATTTTGGCAATTATATTCGGGCCAAGAACAAATCAATAAATGTGTAATTACACAGGAACACAGGACTTGGGGAAATGGCAGATTATAAGGCATCGAGCAAGGCAAAGTAGCCATTAAGATTTAGCGAAGAGCATTGATAGGATGTCTCTGATGTTCAGGTTGCCACGAGATAGTTATTTTTCCTTCTTAGAGAACTTATTTTGAAAACACTTGAAAAAACTAAAATAAATACTTTAACTATCACGTTATTATTTAGGTATCTTTAAGGGTCTATGCAAATTCTAAGTAACTCCGACTCTTTTGCTTTAAGCACTCAAATATATACCATCTAAAATCAATCTTGTAGATATTTCCTTCCGTGTATCTACATTTTAACGACTTCTGTAATCCAATCCGTTTTTGCAACTAACTCCCAGCCGGGCAAACTTTGAGATACGAGTATGCAAACAATATTTCCGCTTGGTGCTCTGCAGAAACTTGCCAAGCCGATACTTTGTTAGCCTCATCTTCCGTCTTAATTTAACTCAGTCTCTTGTTTCTCCTTTTGCAGCAAACCAACTGTGACGTGCTCTTAGATGAAAGGAACGTGCGATGCAATTGAATCCAAGCAGACATACTGAAACGCACTACTGGATTGTGAGTATCTATCGGAACCTTGAACTCTCTAGTATTTTATTATAATTTCCGCAACTTGACAACTCCTTGCGGTTGCAATTATCGGGGCATAAAAATGTTAGGCCAAAATGTCAAAGTCGTTGCCAAAAATGGAAGTAGTGGAGCCGGGAAAAGTGTTCGAAAATGTTCGAGCTGATGTGGCATTGTCTCTAAACTGGCAGGATGCCAGACGGGCAGGAAGTTCCAGCGGAGGCAGGATGAGCCCGAGAGACGGAGACAATGGCTGCCTTCGAGTGTGTGTCCTGGCAATAGAATTTTATTGCCCCAAAATTGTTTGGAAAATTACACAATTGTCGGGGATTGAGGGCCTACAGCTCGCTGCTTTCAGCTAAGCCAAGACGAAATTGAAAAGGGTTAAAGCTTAAATGGCTAAAGGCCAATGGCAATTTATTTAATTGAGCAACATAATAACTGGTAGCCAGAACTGTAAATTTATAGTATTTAAATATTCCAATTCTAATTCTAAAAACGAGTAATCAAAACCTCAGTTTGCTCTTCAACCTCTTCAAAATTTATTTTTAGACAATTTCAATAGCAAGAGTTAAGGCTCAACTGAAAAGCAATTCATTTAATTGACCAACTTAGATAAAGATGTCTTGTCGCAGCCTCCTTCCTTCCGTCTGTTGGATTCCTGGTGATGCATATTTCATGACCTATCCCAGACATATAGTCAATAAATCATTCGTGGCCCCCTCCCCTCTTCGCCACAATGAATCGACGGATTCCCACACGAGGAATCTGATTTCTATCGCCTTGTCTCCGGATTGACATTCTTTGGCCTCGTCTCTGACCCGAAATGCCAACTGCAATTGACATTTCTGGCTGCAAAATTGATGATCCGCCTCCGGATCTGATTCCGAATCTGGGTCTGACTTGTCCGTCTGGCCATAAAATTGAAAAGATTCCCTCGCAAATGATTTGTAACCTCCTTCGTCGCGAAGCGTGAAAACAGAAATACACAATTTGATTAAAAAGTCCAAGCAGGCGTGGCCTTGTCCGGGGGGAAAAGTTGGGTGGCAAAATCTAATGAACCTTTTAACTTGACTTGGAAAAGAGGCCAACGAAGATGTCAAGTTGCTCAGTGAACTTTTGCTTAAGAAACGTCGAATTAGAGAACTTTTCGGGGGGCAGGGCAAAGACCTTTTTTACAGCGATGAGAAACGATTATCAAAAGGTCAGCTGATAACATATAATTTATTAATTTCGGGTTTGGGTAAATGAAAATCCAGTTTTCCATTTAATTTAAATAGGAAAATTTCGAAGAAATCATATCTAAAGCTTTAGAAGAGAGGTTTTCTATGGGCTGACATTATTATTATTTTTTAGAGATTTATAAATAAAATATTATTGTTTAAATTACTTTAAAAAATTCTACATTTCCCCAACTTATTTTCCCAATTTCTCCATATTTTCAGACCCTTTTTTGGTGTGCCTTAGGAGGTTTGATATTGGGTGGAATTGTTGTCATCTCATACTGGATAAGACGATGCAGGTATGTATTGAAAACCAGGCTAGTCTGTACCGAATTTCCCTCTATGAATTCTCCGATATGAATACTATATATATATATCAAATATGTCCGCTGCAAAAGCGCAGCAGGAAAACTATTCAATCCAATTAGTTCAGCGCAGACACACCGCGAATTCGAATGGTTGGGCATGGATTTGTATCTCACCGTTTTGTTTTTCAAAAAATTGAAATTGTCGGGGGAATAAGCCTTGTGACACGTGACGTTTCTTAAAAAGAGAAAATAGAGGAGACAACGTGAACGGGCCAACGACCACAGCGAATGCACGTGGGGATTTTCACCAGCCCCCCCCAGCCAGCGGAAAAACTGGGCGGTAGGGGGTGGTGCCTTTCCAGTGCAGCTCTATGAGAGCCTGTGGTGACATTAGAAAAGACGCAAAATTGCCAGTTGGCCGAGCAGAACAACTGAATAATTCAGGCCGGCAATTGGACGGACCGACGACTGTTTGAGCAATTAACTTAATGACGCAAGGTCACTGGAAATGGGCCTGGCCAAAGTCCGGAAAGTGGCGAAAATGGGGCTGTGTTTCCTACCCAAACAGTGACGCAGTTGACTTTCAGCCTTTTCAAAGGGCGGTGACCAGAGGGGCCATCCTTAGCCCACTCCCATCCCGGTGTATCCATTACGATTGTTGGCGCCAGCCCGTCCGGACAGACAGTGAAAAATATATGCGATAAACATACAGTAGAATGTCCTTGGGACTAACATTAATCTGAAGAGGGGAAAAAAAACTAAATAAATTAATTAAAAGTTAATATATAAAGAGCTAATTAGTTTTGAAGCTTTAAGCTTAAGTTCAAATATAGTTTTCTTTAAGACAAGACATATATCTAAAGAGAAATTATAAGTTTTCCTTATGAATTAAATAAGATTAAACTCAAAACTATATAAGTTATTTTCCTTTTCAAATAATCTCAAATTATCCTCTGAACTTTTTAGTTTATAAAAGTTTAACCGTTTGATACATTTATTAAAGGACACACGCACTAAAAAGGACAACTGACCCCACCGAATGGCTTCCATTTCCAGTTCCATTCCATCGCTCCTCGCTTTTCCTCTATTTTCATTTTGGCTTCACGCGAGGCCAGCGCGTAAAAAGTTTTCCAATTTCCATATGGAGCGATCAAAGGCAAACCCGCAAGCAAACAAACTGTAATATTTGCATACAGTCGAATATCCTGGGAGTAATGGAAACCGGAGTGGGAGTATGTCAGGGTGTGGGAGAAGGCTACAAATGTGGGTGTGAAGGTGGAGCTGGTGCTGGTCAGAGCGAAGGTAAACAGTCGTTGAGCGGGTCATGATTAATGTGTCACGAAGTGCCGCAAACACACACCACACACCATTTTAATGGCGGACATGGCACAGTGGGTGAAAGATGATCATTAAAGGGTTGAATTTATTAAAAGTACAAGTCAAGGCATAGATAAATTTAATTTATTTTATTATTGTTAGGTAAAGAAACATCTAAATATAGAAAATAGTAAAATAAAATAGGTTTATGGAACTAAAAATTCTAGAGATCCTAGGCTTAGCCAAGGTCTCTCGTAATTTTTGGATTTAAAAGAGTCATATTTTATGACGTATATTAATATTTGCTAATTTAAATATACAAAATAATATTGGTAATAATTTTATTTATTAACCGACCAACCAATTTGTAAAACTCATTAATTTTTTGGTACCTCCCCTGCCTTACCATGTTTTCTACCAGAAACCAACTGAACTTGACCTTGTCCCCCTGGGACCTGGGTCCTGTAATTGCAGCCCACGGTAAATTATCCATACATTGTTAGCCAAACAGACTGGCATGCCAAGTTCAAGCTGGCTCGGTTGGCCAAGGAAGAGCAAATACTGGTGGAATGAATACATAGCCGACATTCCTGGCGAATGCCAAGCGAACGACGAACGGCGAGTGGCGAGCGACTATCGTCGTCGTGAGTCAGTTGGAAATTGTCATAAAAATTAAAAATCAATTTTTATAATCCAGTTAGAAGGGGAAAACGCACAGACCAAAGCGGGACAGACAACAAAAAGGGGGGCCAGAGTGGGGGGCTAGCCACAAATACAGCCGCAAACGAGAGGCGATATGGGCACGCAAACATTGCACTATGGGGAATTTTGCCATTTCCGTGGTATTTAGTCATTTTATCAAACTTTAAATATTTGAGTTTTTTTTATGTAAACATATTAAAAATATATGGCTCTATAAAATGTAGTACCAGAAATGTTAATTAACAGTGCACTGTTAAGCCTATCCACTGTTAAAGTCGGCTGTTGTAGCCAAAATGCACGTGATGGAAAATAGCTATTTTTTATTCGGTTACTTTGAAATTGAAAAACTAAAAAGTAGAAGCAATTTTTGATTAAAGTTTTGATGGAGACCAATAGTACTGATAATTATTATGTGTCGTGTGTACTAATACATAGATCTGTGCGTGTCTTACTGATATATTCCGATTTTTCTAAGTGTTCCTCTAAGGAAATTTTTTTGAAAAAATATTTCACTTTGAAGAGACCTATAAAAAATATATGTCTTTGTATTGCTGTGCGTCCGATATATGTTGTAGAGGCATTCATTCTAAATAAAAGGCAATTTGTCTCAATGTGCACAAATCCGCACAATCTACGTAATTTAATTTTTTTTGCAGGTCTTTACGAGCAAATTTTACCAAGAAAAAACCATTTTTCAGGTTAATTACATATAAATATTAATGTGTCAAATCATTTTACCTTTTTAAAAAGCAAAAGCAAATTTTTTGAATTAATGTAAGTGCCAAATGGAAGTTATTGGCGAATTTGAAGGCCTGGACCACTTTTATGAATAAAATGAATATGAAAATGACGTTTTTTATTTTATATCTGACTAAGAGCTCAAAAATGAAGACAATGTATTTTTTTTTATTATGTCTATAAAATATATTGTTTGAATTAAAAAAAAAATCCACCTTATACACTTAAAAAAAAAATTAAAAATACAAAAATCGTCAAGCGAGGGCGGAACCACGCCCATTTTTCCAAAAAACATTTCTTATGGAGCCCAAAACTATAATAAAAAAACCGTTTCGAAATATATTACTTAGTTTAAAAGTTATTAATTAATACCATGAAAATGGCAAAATTCCCCATAGTGCATTGTGGGCCACTTCTATACATACAGAGGTGGCCTTATATACGAGTGTAATACCTGAAAACACACCTCGGTCCGACTGGAATGAAGAATTTCATAGTTTTCGCCCCAAACGAAACGATATTCGAATCGCACCTTCATTAACGGACGACCCGTGAACCGTGTTGGCCGCGTTTTCATGGCTTAAATATTCTAGTAATTTATACCGCAAAGTTTCGTCGCGTCAGCGGGTGTAAAACTTTGAGAACTTGTTGTAACTTGGCAAAAGTTAATTTGGTTGCTCCGAAATTTTCTAATCCATTACATGCAACGCGGCGACGTGACACCGGAAAGTCAACTCTTTGCCAAACTTTGTGACGTTCCCGAAACTATTTAATTATTTATTAAAATCCGTCTGACCCAATCAACAATGAGTGCATCCATGATGGAGCCAGGCAGGTCGTGGAGTGTGCTGGTCTAGTGTTTTGGGGTGGTGAAACTCCCCTACAAATCGTCAAAAACAGGTGCCACACAGCTCTGTCCGCCCATCATCTCTCCATCATCATCATCATCATCATTTTTAATGTGCAATTCTATTTCGGTCGCAGCACTTTGCGGTGGAAGATTAAAGGAGCTGGGTGGCTTGTAATGAAAAAAATTATGGTCTTATTATGAGAGTATTTCTAGGGAGATAAATTGTAAAATATGAAGATTAAAAAGTTGCTTAAAAAAGAAGAAAATGTGATATATTTTCTTAGACTTCTGAAAAACCAACGATAAGTTTAGAGTCAATTTCATCAGATTACAAAATGTGATAAAATTGTTCGAAAGTTCTTAAAACTACAAAATATAAATAACGTAAAAATGATCCATAAAAATGAATAATCATTCCCCCGAATGTTTTTCCCTAACTTTGTAATCAATTTTTGTACAAAACCCCCCCTTAATACCCACCGAAACAATCAGTAATTGACTAAGGGCATGGAGACATTTCCTGCCTATTTTTAACTCTCAGCATGAGTAATATCTTGCCACTAAGCTCCCACCGAAAGCGATTCAATTAAAGTGCCCGAGAATTAATGTCTGGAGGAGCGAACTAAGCCCCCCGGCTAAGTCCCAGACGAAGAACAGTACGATATTGATTAATGACATCTGTTTTCTAGTCAAACGCGTTCCACATCGCGTTCTCTCTGGCCATTTACCGAAATTGACAATTTAATTTGCACTGAACAAGCTAGTGACGGACAGGATAATGCAATAATCAAAGCGGAGAATAAACCAGAGCTCAACTCACCTATCGTGATTGTGAATGTGAATATGAATATGAATTTGACACCCGGGCAGGTGAAGGGTGGGGAGGCGTTCTTTCGTTGCTGCACACCTGAAAGCCAAAAGAAAATAAAAAGCGAACCACTTACACCGCTCCCAAAAGGAAAATCAATAAAGTGTCTTGAAAGTAAAAGGCAGAAACGAACTTTGAGCATTTGTGTGCTGTCCCTGATTAGATAAATGGCCCGAGGGCGGACTGGGAAAGAGAACAAATACGATTAAATCAACCTACAAGGCGCATGCAACAACAGCAACTAAAAAAACACAATTTAAAATTAGAATTAGACAATTAGACAAATGGGACAGGGGGCAGCGGGGGGACGAGAATGTGCGGCGAACACGTGCAAAAAATGCTGCCTGGTTTATACACTCTATATAGAGCTCAATGTCACGCAGCTCTCACACACACACACACGCGGTCTTACATCGCTCGAGGGGAGACGGGGCGTATGATTTATTTAAGCGTCTATTAAAGTCCTTTCCATTGTTCTTCCGCCGCGCTGCGAGTGTGTGTGTGTAGTGGCTGCTTTTATTGTGCTCGCCGTGCCTGTGGTTTACTTTTCACCGTGTGAAGGACATTCGTTGAACTGCAAACGCATTTGCTTTCGGTAAAATAACTTCAAAAGTTTCGCATGTTGAAGGGGCGTGTACTTTTTAATTAACGTACGCCGACTGTGGCGGCATTTCAAATGGAAATCTGATCTATCATGCCTCTGTTAGATGGTCTAATTGCTGTTCCGGCTAAAAGCAAAAGCAGGCAGTTGAAACATAAAGAGAGGCTTTATTATAACAAATGGTTGAAGGATTTTAGCGCACATGCAAAACAGTTGCCACTTGGCAGTTGTTTTGTTAAACATTAATTAAGCACTTGGAAATTATTGGAATTTTTTTTAGAAAGCTTGTAAAGTTATAAGAAGTCATTTCAAAATTAATTGGCGGAATATATTTCGGGGCAAAAATTTCAAAGTATTTTTCAGCTACTTCTTTTTGTTAAAAATATTGTTTAATTGGATAAACTACATATTTAATAATTAAAAAAAAAAAAATATTTTAGAACAAGAAAGGAAGCTAACTTCGGCACGCCGAAGTTTGTATACCCTTGCAGATATTATTTCATAACATTTTACCTATACTTATTATGTTTAGAGTTTGACAGTTACAGTTTTACATTCCCAGTTTTACATTTTCTCTACATCTACCGATCGGTTTATATGGCAGCTATATGATATAGTTGTCCGATTTTCATAAAATTTATACCAAAATTCGGAACTAATAAAATAAGCTTATATCTCAGAGTAGATAAAAATAGGTTGAAAAACAACGAAGTTATAATTTTTTTCGTATTAATTTCCCTATAGTTCCTATGGCAGCTATAAGATATAGTCGTCCGATTTTCATGAACTTTTTACCGAAATTCTGAAATAATATAAAATGGCCATATCTGAAAAATAGTGCCAAAATGTTGATAAACAGCAAAGTTAAAATTTTTTTTCTAAAAATTTATCGATCATTTGTATGGGAGCTATATGATATAGTCGTCCAATCCGGACCGTTCCGACATATATAGCAGTGAGAGTATATAGAAGACTATATGCAAAGTTTCATTCAGATAGCTTTAAAACTGAGGGACTAGTTTGCGTAGAAACGGACAGACGGACGGACAGACGGACAGACGGACAGACGGACGGACAGACGGACAGACGGACATGGCTAGATCGACTCGGCTGTTGATGCTGATCAAGAATATATATACTTTATAGGGTCGGAAACGTCTCCTTCACTGCGTTGCAAACTTCTGACTGAAATTATAATACCCTGCAAGGGTATAAAAAGGCAAATGAAATAGAAACTTTAATAGAAGAAATATGAAATTACCTTTTGTTATAGAAATTTTAAAGCTAATATAAATATTTTATTTATAAAAAGGGGAAATGTGTATAAGTCAACTATAAATTTATTATTCGTAATAATAATAAGGTAGCTCAGTACATATGTACAAGTGAAATATAAAAGAAATAACAAATATAAGAGAAACCAATTGGGGAAACTTTAGAACTTTTCCGTAGAATAGATTTCAATTGGTGGAAATTTTCACTGTGAAAATCAACCAAATATGAGCACTTGTCGATTGACCATCTGGCTGATTTTAATTGAATGCTGGAAAATCAAATCAAATTATGTAGATATAAGCCTGCGAACTAAAAATCGAACTGGGGTCAAGCATCACAATTCATCAACCACCATTAACCCCCCCGCAAAAAAAAACCTGAAGAATCGAATTGTGTAACTAAATTTCTGTAACCATCGAACCTCGGATTTAGGTGTCGTGCCATTTTGGACTGTAGCGAACTTTGCCTAGGCGATCGGTAGGTAAATTCGCTTTCGTTGCATCAGCAAGTCAAGTTACCGAGCGGAGCAAATTAGTCAGCAAATTGAGAGCAAATCAAATCACCAGAGCAAAGCTAAAGAAAACCCACAACTGTTCCAATACAATTTATGATTTTCCAAAAACTCCAATTGGCTGCAAAATTTCAATACTCCAGACACGCTGAAATTAGTTGAATTTTTTTCGTTTGAACTTCACACAATTTTATTATGCAAATTTCCTAGATTACGCTTCTATACAAATTGGCTGCAAATTAGTTTAGTTGAATTGAAAAATTGGCGTATGACCGAAAGCATGCTTTATCTTTCATTTGATTATCCTTTTCCTTAACATTTCCGCTTCCGTTTCACAGACACACAGAAGTCACAAATCACAAACCACAATTCACAGCGAAAGACAACCAAGGAACTTGGCAAAGTTCCCCATCAAAATATGCTTTTGTGATTGTCTTTTACAGCAAAATAATTAAACCTCAGTTGATTTACACTCCCTGAACGATTGTTGAGCAAGTGCTACTGCCGGGGTGATAGATATAGCTTATATGGCTTTTGATTTACCCATTTTACCATCCACGAAGCGCTTCTGTCAGTTCTCGTTTTCGTTTCGTTGCTGCGCTAATACCTTGTTTCTGGATTAATATATATTTCTTAAACGTCTTTACCGCATATTTCTTTCCATTTCCTTGTGGCCACTACTCAACTTTTGTTCGAAAAAAAAACCCAAAAAACCAAAACAAAAACAAACAACAATAAATACACTCTCACAGGACACATCCAGCGAGGTCAGCGATCCGGCAGCGCCGCATCCGGAGCCGGAGCTCATCATCAGCTGCCACCGGGATCAGCGGGATCAGCGCGAACGGAATCATCTCCCGAGGGATAGTAAAGTCATCACCCGATCACAATCCTCGGCGTCGACGGCGCCGCATGCTCCAGTGCATCAACTGAAGCAGCAGCAGTCCCTGCCAAATCCCCCGCCCTCGCAGCACCACAGCAGCCACAATCCACACGCCTCCAAGTCTGTCTCGATCCTCGTCTACAAGACCCTGAACACGGTCTTCAAGAGCAGCCGCAAGATCATTGTGCGCGTGTGCGAGGTGGCCAGCGCCAAGAAGTCCTTCACCATGTTCAAGTTCAACAAGGCTGCCCAGCAGCAGCGGATCGACAACCGGGCCAGTGCCGTCACAGGACACGACCCCTTCGTCCGGCCGCCAGTGCCCGAAAAGTGAGTGAGATCCCTTGGCAATGAGGAGTCCCAAGCTCAAAAATGCCTGGGAAAAAGGTTGGAAAAGTAATGGGAAATTATTGAATGGCTGAAATATCAAAAACTATATACAGTGGCTCACAGCTTATTTCGTGCAAAGGTGAACTTGAAATTCAAACTTGCATATCTGACAAACTATAGGAGATATAAAAAAAATTGAAACGCAGTTTTGTTAAGTAGGGCTTAAGCATTTATTTAAGCCCTTAATTATTTTTCAATTCCACTAGATAACGATAAAAACTTAAAAAAACGAAAAATATTGGTTATTTTAATGTCACAGCTTATTTCGTGCAAAAACTTTGGGTACATATAATTTGTAAATTGTTATTTTAAATTAGCTAATTCTTTTTGTAACTCATTGGAGGCGATATCAGCTAATTTACTTATCCCTCCGATGCGTTTCATATCACAGGAAAATACAGTTTTCTATGAATTACCAAAATGCGCTCCGCACGACTATCGAACTGCGGGAATTGGTCCTTTATCATTTTAAAAATGGAAAAACTTGGCAAAATATTACTTAAATAGTTAACCTTACCCTTAGTGCTGTTCAGTAAATCATCCCAAGCTTCAATCGGGAAAATCGGGAGGCAGATATTGGCCGAAATGGTCCTAACCAAATTTTTATTAAGCTTGAGAAGATGTGAATTATCCGGAAAATTAATGTTAATTCAAAAAATTTGGCGACAAAACTAATAGTAAATGTTGGGCATGAAATGGCCTAAAAGTATTCCGTGGAAACCGTCCGCCGTTTATAACGGGAACACATCTTTAAAGGCCGAGTAACCCGGAAAAAGCCTTTCGAAACCAATACAAATCCGAAGTGCAGGCTTAAATTGGCCAAGGAGCACATAATTTCATTCGATTTCGTTCTGGAATGAATTAATTTTCACAGACGAGACCAAATTCAATATTTATGAGGTCGGACCGAGAGCAATATGTTTGAAAACAATCAAATTCAGAGCTCCACCACAAGAACCGATCCCCTACAGCCAAGCACGGTAGTGGTACTCGCATGGTTTGGGCGTGTATGGCGGCAACCGATGTTGAAAACCTGGTTTTCATCGAGGGAAATATGGCTAGAATATGTACCTTCAACTTTGGAAGGATAACTTGCTCCAGATCGCCGATATATTGGGCCCAAAGCGGATTTTCTGACATTACCATGACAATGACCCAAAGCAAAAATCGACTCTTGTGCAAACCAGGATGATATGGAACTGCCCTAATGTGGTGAATCCACTTCCCCAGTCACCCGACCTTATCGTCCTTAAGATTTTGTGGGCGATTCTGGATCTGGGCATCCGCAAGAGGTCGATATCTTATAAAAATGGTCTCAAAACAGCCCCCTTGGAAGAATGGTCCAAGATTCCAAAGGAGTCCTCAGAAAAGTTGATTTCTTTAATTAAAACTCTTTTAGAGGATGTCATCAAATAAAGTTAAGACAAAAAAAAATTTGTAAGTTTAAGAAAAACCGAAATAGTTAAGATATACTTTTTTGCACGAAATAAGCTGTGACATTAAAATAACCAATATTTTTCGTTTTTTTAAGTTTTTATCGTTATCTAGTGGAATTGGAAAATAATTAAGGGCTTAAATAAATGCTTAAGCCCTACTTAACAAAACTGCGTTTAAATTTTTTTCATATCTTCTATAGTTTGTCAGATATACAAGTTTGAATTTCAAGTTTACCTTTGCACGAAATAAGCTGTGAGCCACTGTATATAATAATTTTATTTTACAAATATAATACATTCTTTTTTGGTTTATTAATTATATCTAAATTCATAAGAAAAACCTTAAACTTTTTAAAATTTAAATTAAAATTTTTTTAAACTAACAATTTGAATGCATTACCCACATTTTCCTTTATATAAAACAAATTATTTATAAAATACCAACTAATTCTTATCGATTGTTTTTAAGAAACGATAAATTATCGATCATTTTGATATGCTTTAATATCAACATCGAGTATTTACAGCCAATGCTTTTCCAACACTTTAACGTAAAAAATCAAATATTTTAGTCAAGAGTTTGTATGCCAATGAGTGTGTGTTTGTTTCTCAATTCGAAATGCAACCGATTTGATGTCGATAACCGATAACCGATAACCAATCCGATAGGAAAGTGAAGCACATTATGAAGAAGCTGCACAAGGCGAACGGCCTGAAACGCTCCAACTCGGCGATCGAGTTTGATGTCTCGGCATTGACGGCCGCCAATCGGCGCCAGATCTACAGTAGGTGAGTACCCGATCCGAAGCGATATATATAAAGATATCGTCCGTGTGTGTATATAGGACTTTTGCAATGTGTGGGCGAAGAACACCTAGCACAGTGCACAGGTTCCTCGAGTTTTACTTTAGTTTGTGACACTTTTTTCGGTTCGATTCAGTGAAGCTTCTTTGACAGACCAAACAAATGGAAGAGAACACACACTTAACGCTGATTTTGTTCATTTATTTCCATGTTTTCTTTTTGCCAAAACCAAAACCAATACCAAAAACCCACAAAAAACCACCCACCAACCACGCAACCACCATTGTGTACCCTTCTATTTGCAGCAATCGGTCGGCGAGCTCGGAGCAAGATAACTCAGATCAATCCGAGCACTCGGAGAAATCGCCGCTGGTTAGCGCGAGGTTAGACAATCTAGCTAGGCTCTTCTTTAGCAAGTCGATGCCAGCGGAAACCGGAAGTAGAGATACCATAGATTCAGTACTGAATACAAGGTTGCATTTACTACTCTACTCTATACTATACTAAATATTTATACTATTTTGTAATTAGCTTGTACTAATACTTGAGATATCCAGCATCAGCCCCCCCCCCACTAGTGCCGTATTCTCAAGTGCCATATTTTTTCCGTTTTGCTTGCCCAATTCATATATCGTTTTGGTTCTGTTTCGATTCAGTTGATTTTTTATTCCAGCTCGACAGCACTTTGCATGCCAAAAATGAATAGAAATAAAAACCGAAAATGCTTTTAATGTTTGCCACACGTAGATTATTCCGTAGCAACCAAAGAAACCACACTGAACTATTCTTTTTATTCGAACTAATACACATGCACCCGTACATAGAGATAACACACACAAGTAATTCAGAGGAAGCCCATCTGATTTTCAAGAGGGTTGAGCCGCAGCAAACAAAATATAATTAACTTGAAAGCTTTTGTGGGAAATAATATTTGTATTAAAGAAAAAGAAATATATGTATATAATAGAAACTTCCCTTATTTCCCCTAACTTTCAGCGTATATCTCTGGCTTTGACTCTCTTCCTCTGTAGCGAAATATTTGCCGCAACTTTATTCTCGAAAGTTTTCTCATTTCGAATGAAAAGCCAAAGGCAGTGCCAAAGTCAAAGTATTAAATGCGATGATAGAATGCATTTTCCGCCGCACCCAATCCCCCTTTTCTTTTGTTCCAAAAGGCAGGTGAAAGTTTGCCAAGGTGAAAATTCCTCAAATTAGATGCCCTGCCATACAAATACACTGGCAGAAAAGGAGGGTTAAGGAGAGGGTTTACATTATACATTTAAAATATAAAAAAGAATGTGAAATATTTGGAAATAATTTAGTGTATTGTTAATATTTTTTACGGTATAATTTTTATTGAGTGATATTTAACATATTTTAATTGGCCATGTAACTAAAATTCTTTTCAGTGTTCAAAAATTGCAAATTAAATTATCAACTCAGCAAAAGTTTGCTCGAAAAAGGCGAAAAATTGATTCACGCGAGTGTGCGGATGTATCCTAGGTGTGTGTGTGTGTGTGTGTATGGGTGAGTGTCCGCCCAATTCCCTCCCCCTTTCAGCCCCCCTTGCCACCCCTTCCAGCCACGTGCTGAGCCGTATGATGAATGTGCAAGCGAGCGTGAGCATCTGTTCGTGTGTGTAAGTGTCTGTCGATGTGGAGGTGTGTGTGTGATAGGTGTGTATGTGTGTGCCCCTAACGAGCAGATGAGTGTGCATGTGTGAGTGCTGCAAAGTATGCAATAAAAAATTTCACACACGAGCACGTTAATTACGCGCGGCATCCGAACATTTTTGAAGAACTTCAGGTTCCTCCCTCCCCGACCAATGGAGGTTGTATCTCCAGGGACCCCAGGTATCCATGTATCTGGCAAATGCTCGTACCTCTTCGGTTCGCTTATTTCCATTAGTCGCAGATGCTTGATATTTATATTAATGAACGCAGAACCTGATGCTCGAAAGGGTTTCTTTTAAATTAATATTTTTTAATTAAAGGTTATTGGTGTGACTTTCGAAATTGAGCAGAAACATGCTAAATATACTTTTGGTTGATTTAATTTGAGGGAAATTAAGCAACTTTTCATTTCACGTTGAAGTTTATGTAGATTATTTCAATTCAAACAAAATTTGAAAGCTTCCCTGAATATTCTTTAAGCCTCTTTAAACAAGGCAAATATATATATTCACAGAAAATCTAATTTATTTCTTACTACATCCAAGAGTTCAAATCTGCCAGCCTTAGCTTCTTTTACTCATTTTTCTCTCTTTACCGTTTCACCATCCACGTTCCAGAGTTTGGCAAACAACAAGTGTGTCGAGTGTTTTGCAAATATTTAAACTGCAATATCACGAAGAAGATAAACGAAAGAAAGTCACCTCTCCGTTTTTGCAACAAAAATTAGCTTAAATCAACAAACAAACAAACTGGCGAAACACCCTTGAGCACACACACATACACACTAGGGTATAAAAGTATAAAGTACGGCTGCAATCGGAGTCAAGGCCTTGAACAGCAGGGAAATGAGAAATATTTCACATACGCCCCGTTGGCCAAAAGCGCAAGCCATGCGCTTAAAGAGACAGGCAAACGGGCAAAGAGTTTTCTCGGCTTTTGGTTGTTCTGGTCTAGCTAACGCACACACATGAGTACACAGAGCGAAAAATCCACAACAATTGGTCATCAGCAGTAAAAATTACTGAATGATTTTATGATTGGTAATTCTAAAAAAATTATAGGAATGCCAAATAGAAGACAAGAAATAACAAATAACTATTAAATTTATTTTATTAGGATACTATTTTTATTTATTTTAATAAAAAACCTAATTACTATAGTATTTTATTTGACAATATTTAATTTGGAATTAAAAACTATATTAGTTAGATTTTTTTCTCTCCGTGTTCCTGTTTTTTTATACCCTTGCAGGGTATTATAATTTCAGTCAGAAGTTTGCAACGCAGTGAAGGAGACGTTTCCGACCCTATAAAGTATATATATTCTTGATCAGCATCAACAGCCGAGTCGATCTAGCCATGTCCGTCTGTCCGTCTGTCCGTCTGTCCGTCTGTCCGTTTCTACGCAAACTAGTCCCTCAGTTTTAAAGCTATCTGAATGAAACTTTGCATATAGTCTTCTATATACTCTCACTGCTATATATGTCGGAACGGGCCGGATCGGACGACTACATCATATAGCTGCCATACAAATGTTCGATATATTTTTAGAAAAAAATTATAACTTTGCTGTTTTTCAACATTTTTGCTCCATTTTTTTAGATATGACCATTTTATATTATTTCTGAATTTTGGTAAAAATTTTATAAAAATCGGACGACTATATCATATAGCTGCCATAGGAACGATCGGGAAATTAATAGAAAAAAAATTATAGATTCGTTGTTTTTCAACGTATTTTCATCTACTCCGGATTATGAGCTTATTTTATTATTCTAGAATTTTGGTATAAATTTCAATAAAATCGGACTACTATATCATATAGCTGCCATATAAACCGATCGGTAGATGTATACAAAATGTAAAGCTGGGAATGCAAAACTGTAACTGTCAAACTGTAAACATAAGAAGTATAGGTAAAATGTAATGAAATAATATCTGCAAGGGTATACAAACTTCGGCGTGCCGATGTTAGCTTCCTTTCTTGTTTTACTTTCATTTCGTTTTCGTTTCTGCAAGTTCTTGTGACGCAATGAAAGTGAAATGGATTGTGAGGAAGGGAGCAGGAGAAGAAAGGAAGCCTCTTGGCCAACATTTTATGCCGCACACGAACACACTTTCACTCTCACTCTGACCCCCCCTCTGTCCCCACCCAGCTCCCCCTGGCGTCTCACTTTCGTTTTGTGCCTTATTAAATTTTCAAACACATGCTAAACTTAACCCGAGGATGTGCTTAACCTTCGCTCTGTTTTGATTGAGTGGCCGTAAGTGTTTGTTTATGAGCCTGTCCCGCTCCCACTCTACCTCTCTCTCTCTCTCTTACTCTTCTCTTTCTATTGTTATTTTGCCTCTCTCTTGCTCTTCCTAATCTCAGTTTCTATCTCTGTTTCTTACTGTCTTGTTTTTAAGCCTCCAAGTGAGTGCAGTTTGTTTGGCTTTTCTTCTTTCATTTCGTTTGACACCGTTTCCATTTTTTGTTATTTCCTTATTTATTTTTTTTTTTTTTTTTGCACTCTGCTCTTTGTACAACTCTTCACTTGCAACAAATAAATAAATTAAAAACTGTTTCTAAAAACTCAAATACAGACAGATAAAAAAAAAGGAGACCGAGCTTAACAAAATGAAATGATAAACTCTTGCTTCCGTTTCCGCTGCGCCATTGTGCAGGCAGTTACTTCCTCTTCCTCTGGCCTGTCCCTTGTGTTCCGCTCTCCTCATTGAGTTGCAAATTCCTTTGTCCTGCGGCACCTTTCAACTTCCTGCCAACAAGAAAAAATTTTGCTGTGCAAATTATTTTGTGTCTCCCTTGTTTTTGGCAATTGTCCTGTGGCCCTTGCAGATGGTGATGAGGTTTTTTTTCGGGGTCTCTAGGGCGCTGTTTTCTGGTCAATTTTGAATTGTTAAATACTGCGGTCAGGGATTGTGTTAGTACATATTGTGTTCCTCTAGGTTAAATACACTTGTCGAATTTTTATATTCAGGAAATTTTAAGAGAACTGAAATTCTACAGATAAAATAACAATAAATACCATAAATATTAACAGAGTTCTCAGTTTAAGATCTTTGAATAAACATTAAATCGAATGCACAAATTCCATTATCAAATTCCTAGGAATTTCAATATTAATTATGAATCTGTGAAATTTATCTGCCCCCCCAAAAATTTCTGCATTTACACCTAAACCTGATACTGAGGAATCAGCAAACAAAATCCCTGTATATACATTATTCAACATGAGACCACATAATTGAAATGGAAGGACGAAAATGCTTTGACGCTGGTCAAGTGCGGTCGCTTATGCAAATTATGGGAAAATTTATGTTAATTGAGCCCCTCCTCCCTGATGGTCGTTGTAAATAATACCTCGCCAAAAAGTGTGATGCGATGCGATGTTTTTTAGAAAGCCAACTCATGATTAGTTCTAGTTTTAGTTGTAACATACAAAAACAAATTTTCCTTAGTTAGCAATTATTCAACTACGTATGCTCTCTATCAACCATATTATTTGTGGACTTGGGCAGACATGGGAGCTAAAATGTTGTTGGCAATTTTCAGACCCAACATCAAGTACCAGTATTCCGCCTTGGACAGCGGCAATGGGATCGTGGAGCGGAGTCCCAGGGAGCGGGCCCAGCGGGAGAAGGCCCTGAACGCCACCCAGGAATGGATTCAGAGTGCCAATGGACGCTACGAGGTGATTGCTCATCTGGATGAGATCGGCTCGAGGCACGGCAAGAACTGGTTTCTGGTCACAGATGCTTCGGTAGGTTGCTATTGTAGAGACTGTTAGTTTATGGCTTAAATTGGGGTACGTTTATAGGTTCGCACAGATCGTCTGCTGACCCTGCTACCTCTGCCCCCCGACTGCGTGGCCTTCGAGGATCTGCCGCCCAACGAGTGTGCCAGGGAGATTCTCATGGAGCTGCTCGGCTCGCTGCATCATCCGTACATATATCCCGTGCTGGACCTGGGCTTCTTGCGCAACAGCTCGCATAACTATGCCTGCCTGGTGACGCCCTTCAATTCGCGCGGCAGCCTCAAGGATCTCATATACAAAGTGATTGCTTTATATAAAATGTATTAAAATTGTAATTAAATAAAAAAATGCACTCCTTTTCAGGCACAGTGGAACGAGCCGTGGGCCAAAAAGTACACGCGTAAGCCAAACGGCTTGCCGGTGAGCCAAGTGCAGCGCCTGGGGCGTCAGATCCTGGAGGCACTGCTCTTCCTAAAGGAGCGCGGCTTTCCGCTTCACGGTCACCTTCACAGCGGCAATGTCATCCTGCAGAACGGGGCAGCCAGGTGAGTTCGTTCAGCCGTGAACTAATTTAATAATGACTGAAATATTTGATATCGAAGCGGTGGCCATCGGTGGCCCCGTCCTGAAATTTCAGTCATGCAAAATTCAGCGAAATAGAAGGGAGAACGATATCGGGCCTAAATGGCAAATTAAAAGCAATTTAACGGAATCGTTGGACATTTCGTGGCACTTTAAATGCATGTCCCATCGCCCCCCGACCCTTGGTTCTTCCATTCACATCCATGTAACTGCTGTGCGACAACGCGTAAAGCGCCCGCCCAGGGCCACCCACTCGGAAACATCGAATGGGTGTAACAAAAATAAAGCTTTAGCTTTTTGCCATTTTAAAAATAAATGCTCGTCGCAAAAAATTGCTTATACTGCAGCGAATTCCTATAGGTGAAAGTCAGTGAAAGAGAGCGGATTTCTTTGTTCTTTATTTTTATACCCTTGCAGGGTATTATAATTTCAGTCAGAAGTTTGCAACGCAGTGAAGGAGACGTTTCCGACCCTATAAAGTATATATATTCTTGATCAGCATCAACAGCCGAGTCGATCTAGCCATGTCCGTCTGTCCGTCTGTCCGTCTGTCCGTCTGTCCGTCTGTCCGTCTGTCTGTCTGTCTGTCTGTCTGTCTGTCTGTCTGTCCGTCTGTCTGTTTCTACGCAAACTAGTCCCTCAGTTTTAAAGCTATCTGAATGAAACTTTGCATATAGTCTTCTATATGCTCTCACTGCTATATATGTCGGAACGGGCCGGATCGGACGACTATATCATATAGCTGCCATACAAATGTTCGATATATTTGTAGAAAAAAAATTATAACTTTACTGTTTTTCAACATTTTTGCACCATTTTTTAGATATGGCCATGTTATATTGTTTCAGAATTTTGGTAAAAATTTTATGAAAATCGGACGACTATATGATATAGCTGCCATAGGAACGGTCGAGAAATAAATAGGAAAAAAAATTATAGTTTCGTTGTTTTTCAATGTATGTTTATTTACTCTGAGATATAAGCTTTTTTTATTATTCTAGAATTATGGTATAAATTTCATAAAAATCGGACAACTATATCATATAGCTACCATATAAACCGATCGGTAGATGTAGAGAAAATGTAAAACTGGGATTGTAAAACTGTAACTGTCAAACTGTAAACATAATAAGTATAGGTAAAATGTAAGGAAACTCTGTTTTGTGAGTGTTTTCAGCATTTAAATCTATAATATAAACATCGAAACCAATCTGCAAGGGTATACAAACTTCGGCGTGCCGAAGTTAGCTTCCTTTCTTGTTTTTTTTTTTTTTTTAGCTTTTCTTTGTTTAAGTTTGCTCCAAGTGCATGACCCAATTTAGTTGCCTTCATCCGCTGGAGGGAGCACATTGAAAAAGCTGATTTTCATATAAATTGCTTATACATATGTACAGCCATCGATAGGGCCAAGTGACGGCAAAAGTCCATTGCCAGAGCAATGGAGAGTAGTAAGCTGAAAAGCTGATTGATGGAGTGGCAAAGCAAAATACTTATTCAAGTGGGATTGCTTTGAAAATCTCTCGTTTTTGCCTCTGGGAAATGGTAATCAAGGCAAAGGATGTAAGGATAAATCAGAGCTGTAAAATCTAGAGCAAAAATAACAGGCCACCAATTAAGAGGCGAGTTATTCAATTAGCAAAAGCTCGGATAGAGTTAGTGCAGCTAAGAAAAGTAAGATTTTCAGGGAAATTCAAGTTCTCATACCAAAAGCCTAATTAACATTTTTGTGAAATAATTAACATACCTTTGCCATCAAAATCCATCAACTATCCAGCACCTAGAGTCAGCATCTTCAGAACGCCTTTTGTCAGCCAATTTGGGTGGTCTTTTCCTGCTAGTCAGCAATACTGCGCTCTAATGAACACTGACAGGACTCTTGAGCCAAAAGCCGCCCCGGCCAATCTGCAGTATACGGCACTGTGTGGTGTCATAATATTGTCCTATCAGGTCTGACATACGCTCTTTGTCATAAAGGCCTTACCCCTCTCGCTCGCACAGAAATCCATAAAAGTAGGCACTTTGTGGCCGTCGTGGCCACGTGTTGGCCATCAATACATGGATGTGGCTCGGGTAGAACCGCCATCGAATGTGCTGCATAATTAAGATGAAGAATAAAGGAGAGGGGATATGGAGGGGCTCGCCATTTAATTATGCATTCTCCGTGACATGGGTTCTTTTTTTTTTTGCTCACCAGGTTATCTGGCCTGGAGAACGGTCTACTGGGCCTCAGCTCGCGGAATAATGCCGTCATGTGGTCCCGCTCGGTCACCGAGATCGAGAACGTGGACATTGTCTGCTTCGGCCACCTGCTGTACGAGATGTGCACCGGCCAGGAGCTGACCACACCCAAGCCGTCCATGCGGGTGCTCGAAATGGAGATGCAGCACTACCCACAAATTGGCCAGGTAACATGAAATTATGGAGTCTTGATTAAGGTATATAATATTTTATATTTTCCTTTACAGATTCTGGAGATATTAGGTCTTATCTTTGAGCCGCCTAGCGGTGTCTGCCCCTCCGTTGAGGACCTAGTCCTGTGCGATCTCTTTCGCAGCATCGATTTGCGCGAGCTGCGTGGCCCCTGTTTTAGTGTAGGTATCTTCTTTTGTCATTTAAATTTGTTATTTTAATCCATCTTGCTTTTAGACAATTAAGCCGAGCCTCAGCAGGTCCACTCTGAATCTGCTACATGCGGTTAAGAAGCGCCAATGCGCCTCTCTGGGCCACTCCCTCAGCGAGGCGAACTCACCCTGCACGCCGCCCTCGACGCCGCACGATCGACGCACTGGGTAAGTAGCTTCACCGTCGGCTTAGTTGTTTCTTAGCTTTCCACCTAGAAGCAAACTCTGCCAACTTTTCACCTACTCAGTCATCGGCATAAACCACATAAGTCCCTCTCACACACACAATCTGTACACTGTTCATCGTCGTGTCATGTTTCCTTGGTGTGATGGGATCAGGAAGTATCAGAAATTCGGTGTTTTATTAGTCCCTCAGTCTTAGAAATTAGTTTATCAAGAGACCTCTAAGGCGATATGATACCAAACAGATGGAAGTTGATGTTTAAACTAAAGATAGTTGTGTAGATAGATTATCTATAGATGTTTTAAAGTAAAATGAATAATGTTTCATTTAAAGTTTTTCTTAGAGGATTTTGTTTTAACTTAAACTGTTAACTTTAAGATACCTGGATGCTTTTTAATATAATATTTATAGAGTAATTTTATTTATTAATTTATATAAAAATAATAATAAACTGTGAACCAAAGGTTGAACCTCTTGACCTATAAGACATTTCTGAGATGAAATCAATTAAATTTTTAAAACAAGAAAGGAAGCTAACTTCGGCACGCCGAAGTTTGTATACCCTTGCAGATATTATTTCATTATATTTAACCTATACTTATTATGTTTACAGTTTGACAGTTACAGTTTTACATTCACACCTTTACATTTTCTCTACATCTACCGATCGCTCCTATGGCCGCTATATGATATAGTTGTCCGATTTTCATGAAATTTATACCAAAATTCTAGAATAATAAAATAAGCTTATATCTCAGAGTAGATGAAAATACGTTGAAAAACAACGAAGTTATAATTTGTTTCCTATTAATTTCCCGATCGTTTCTATAGCAGCTATAAGATATAGTCGTCCGATTTTCATAAAATTTTTACCAAAATTCAGAAATAATATAAAATGGCCATATCTAAAAAATTGTTCAAAAATGTTAAAAAACAGCAAAGTTATAATTTTTTTTCTAAAAATTTATCGAACATTTGTATGGCAGCTATATGATATAGTCGTCCGATCCGGCCCGTTCCGACATATATAGCAGTGAGAGTATATAGAAGACTATATGCAAAGTTTCATTCAGATAGCTTTAAAACTGAGGGACTAGTTTGCGTAGAAACAGACAGACAGACAGACAGACAGACAGACAGACAGACAGACGGACAGACGGACAGACGGACAGACGGACAGACGGACAGACGGACAGACGGACAGACGGACAGACGGACATGGCTATATCGACTCGGCTGTTGATGCTGATCAAGAATATATATACTTTATAGGGTCGGAAACGTCTCCTTCACTGCGTTGCAAACTTCTGACTGAAATTATAATACCCTGCAAGGGTATAAAGATATTGCAGCAAAGGCTAATGTCTTTTGTGCCTAGGTTGCCCAGAGATTACCAATTAAATTCAAATATAAATTGGCTGTTCTAAAAAATATTTACAATATTTTAAAAAATATTTAGGAAGATCCAAAAGACCTCTTTTTGCTTCTAGTAGAGTCATAGCTCCGCCCCACGTTTGGGCCTAAATTTAATCCACGCTCTGGGCCTGTTAATCCCGTTCTTGTGCACTCGCATTTCGGGCTAATAAAGAGAGACTCACACACATGCAAATACACTCACACACACACACACACAGCCATGGAGAGGTTAAACAAAAAGACATGACAAAGAAAAGACGGCCAAGAGAAAACTAACACACGGACAGATATGGCTGAGCGAAAAATGTGGCCAAAAGCTTGATGATGTGCGTGTGGCTCCGGGTGTGTGTGTGAGTGCGTGCCTAAAGGTAATTATGGTAATGCCCTGGACTCTGCTCAGCCTGACCCATTCCATGCCATTCCCATTCACCGGAGCCTTAGGCAGAATTTAAAATTATGCATACAAGACAGGGATATAATTGAGTGATAAAGAACGAGGACGGAAGCAAAAAAGTCCCGAAAAGGTGTCCTCATTTTGTTGTTTTTGCCTCATGTATATTTAAGCATCCCAATGACCCCGTGTAAATTTACTCAGCTGCCTCAGTAAATAAAAAATATTAACTAAAATACTCAAACGCATGTTTTTTACTTACATTAATTAATTAAAAAAATTTTATGTAGCGGAGGATTTTGTCAACTAAAGTATTTTTTCCGTATGCAATGTTTTACTCTCTCTTTCTCTCCTACTACTACTACTACCGCCTACTACTACTACTACTACTACTACTCAACTCTGTTGTGTGTGTGTATCTGTGTGTTAAATCTATCTTAGTGTTGCGAAAGCGCCCAGAATCCCGTTACCGTTGCAGTTACCGTTACAGTTGCCGCTACACCAAACCCATCATCTTCTACACACATACCGATCCGCCCTCGAATGTCTATCAACGTTCACTTTTGTTTACATCACCTATGTGTGTGTTTTGTTTTTGATTTACAAACTCTTGCATTTCTGCATTTGTTTATTTACATAACCCGTTCGACTAACTAAAAAACCAACAACAACAACTACAACAACAACTCCAACTCCAACAACTCCAACTATAACAACAGTGTTCCGCCTGCGCCCTATGAAGTCTTTCGTATGTACTAATCCGAAACCAAACCCAACTGAAACGTACCAAAAAAAAGAAAAAAATAAACCAAAACCAAACCCCAAACTGAAACCATGAACAACTCATAAAAAATTATATCTCACAATTAAATTTTACAAAACTGAATATCGTGTGAAACAAAATGAATACCTGAATAAAATGAATACCTGAAAATAAAACCATTAACTGCAGAGTATGCTAAAAAATCATCCATTTTTTGTACAAACATGTAAATTTTTTATATTAAATGGAAAATGAAATCAAACGGAAAAAAAATAAAACAAAATATGTGGTAAGTGGCAATTTTTTGTATGATTCACTGCACCGCCAGCCAGCAAGCCACAAGCAAAGCAAGCAACACCACTTGCACACCTCAAAGTAAACCAAATCGAAACTCCATTCGATGCGAGGGGCCAGCAGAAAGTGCAGAAATCGTATATTTATTTATTCATTTAACGAGTGCCAAACCACATAATCCCAATGCCTTTTGTTTGCACTAGTTTTTAGACTTTATAGTTTGCATTATACATTTTTTGTATATATCTGAATGTATCTTATTTGCTTTAATCTCACCATAAATTCTGTGAACAAAACTTTATGTTTATATTGTTGATTGCATGATGTAGAGAATATATACATATGTATGTACAAAGGCAATATTTGTTTTCGATTAAGCACTGAATGCCCTTTTCCTAGTGGGTTAAATGTTTTCACTTTTAGTCTAGTTTTCGATAGTAATTGGAATGTAATTTGTGATTTTTTGGGGTAGTATTAAATTCGTGATAGTAAGCAATAATTTTCATGTAAGCTTGTAAAATAAAGACTTAATTGAGTTAACTCGCAGCTAAAATACTTCCCAACTTATATCCCACCTTTTAAACGAAGTTTAGCCCTTCTTCAGACATCCTTGTATCTGAGCTATCAGCAGAACCTTAGTTTTGATAGGCCACTAATTGAGTTTCTGGAGAGCAGAGGCAACTTGGGCTAGATTGGAAACCCGCACGTATTGCCGCTTCTATTGCAGCCGCACACTCACCAACACACAACACACACTCATCGCATCCAGTGACATGCCATGGCTTCTCTGCATATCCAAACACAAAAGAAATCCGAACCAGGTGCCGCAGTCGGAGTGCGATTGAAAATTTCGAATTCTGAATTTCTGATTGTTATTCTCTGGCCTTTTCCTCCCACTTCTCCAACCCAACCGCCCGCCCATACAGTATCAGCCGAACAATGGACTCATTTGACATATCAAGCGACTCGGAGGAGGGTCTGCTGGAGGAGATTGTGGTCGGTGGTAGCTGCCACCGGCAGCACTTGCTGCGCCTGCAGCAATGGCACTCCGCCCACTCGTACGTCCACTCGTACGACCCGCCCTCGGAGTCGCCCATCCACTACTGTGACCCGGCGGCCCTCTATTCGGATGACAATGGCCACGAGCCGGAGCCGGGGCAGGAGCACCTGCCACCGACCATTCGGTGTAGCACCAGCAGCCAGAGCAACCTGAATGTGCTGCTGGCCGAGGGTGTGGTTGCCGCCGAGGATGGCTACGAGGCCCAGGAGGTGGAGGTGGAGGAGTTCGAGGTTCTCGAGGAGGAGGAACCCAGTGGCTCGTCGGGAGCTCAGAGGCTGCAGGCTCCGGCCTGCACTTCGTCGGCTGCAGGAGCTTCCTTCAATCACCAGCTCACCGCGGATATGTGCAACTACAAGAACTCGAAGAGCCGGCGGCTGGAGTACTCGCTGAAGTGCCTCAAGTACGGCCGCAGCAATCCCTCCCAGGACTCGGCCTTCGGTTCGCTGACCGACAACGACCTGTCCATCGGCTCTTCCAGCATTCGGCTGAGCAGCTTCCAGTCCATCTCCTCGCCCATCGACGAGGGCGTGGAGGATATCATCATAGCCACCACTACGGGCGGCAATGAGACCTGCCTGGAGCTGGCCACCATTCCCCGGAGCATGGTGTCCCAGGACTCGGCCATTTCCTCGCCGTGCCGCGAGAGTTCCCCCAACAACTTTCTCCATATCGACGATGCCATGTCGGGCACGGGCTCCACCTCGTCCGGTTCCAATTGCGGCTCCTATGGGAACATACGTCCCCAGCAGTTTCCAGTTTCGCTGTCACCGAAGATCTTGGTAACGGCCACCAGTAACTCGAGCAGCTCTTCGCTGGCCTCCAACAGCAATGCGGGTCAGGGTCAGGCTCAGAGCCAGGTTCAGGCACCGGGGCAGGGCCATCCCCAGCAGCAGCAGCAGCAGCAGTTTGATCCGCCCAAGATCCTGGTCAACGATCAGAACTCCATCTACACCACGTCGCCCTCGAAGCGATCGGGAATGATAGAGGTCTTCTCGCAGAAATATCGGGTGAGTAAGAACTTACAGTAAAATTTAGGTTTGAAATATTCGATTAGTTTTCTGTAAAGAATAAAATATGATTTTCTGTTAGTCTGTAAAAAAAAGCTCAATTAGTTTCCCTTCCAGGTGAGCTCCTTCGAGGACATGTCCCCGAAGCGAACCTCTGACAAGCAGCACCTGAAGCACGTGAACCGCCTGGCCTTCCGCTCCTTGGAGGAGGAGCGCCGCATCGACAACGCCTTCCTCCCGATGGCGGATCGCACACACTCGGACAATCGCGTGAACATGCAGAGTGAGAAGTACAAGAAGCTCACCCACGCTTCCTTTCGCATCAGCAAGGGCCAGGGCCAGGAGTCGCCCACGGCCACGCCCACCAGCCAGACGCCGCCCAGTCATCCGAGCAACAGCATCGAGATGCAGCGCACCGGCAGACAGACTCTCTGGCGGGACAGCAAGTTCTACAGAAAGAACCGGATAGCCAAGAGCAACGACTCTCTGATGGAGAACAATCCGTCGCCGAGGATCTCGCCCTGCTCGCTGCGGGACAATCAGTACGAGAGCAGCAGGAGCAGCTCCCAGGCCAGCCGGAGGTCGCTGAGCGGAAGCCAACAGATGCTTAGCGTGACCACCAGCTTTTGTGGCAACGGCAGCGGCGGCCGCAACGCGGCCAGGTACTGCAGCTCCAAGAGCGAGGACCTGGGCGAGTCCTCCGACTATTTGAGAGTGATGGACGCCCGCAAGTCGTACTCGGAGCGGCATCTGGTGCGGCTCAAGCAGACGGCCATTAACAACACGCACAGCGAGGACGAGATGAGCTTCAACGATAACGACAATAATGCCACGGCATCATCGCAGCAGGGCCTGGGGCTCCAGTACAATCAGCCCCACTACAATCAGAGGAATCACCCTCAGGGCGGCAGGTGGAGCAGCAGCTGCTCCATCGGCAGCCACCTGAAGACGACCAATATTAAGACCACCTCGCTGTCCGCTCAGTCCAGCCAATCGAATTTAGTGGCCACCTCAGCAACTGCCAGCTATCGCACGCCCTCCAAGTCCCTTGATCAGAGCACCGCCATCCCGAGCACCCCAGCCCAGGGCAGCCAAAGTAAACCTGGCAACCACAGTATCATGAGCAGCCAGAGCCACATCACCGCAAACACCACCAGTAGCAACAGCAGCAGCAGCACCAGCAGCTCGGTGGACGAGTCGCCGTCCAGATTGACCCTCAGTGGCGCCGATCTCTCGAGGATCTTCGTGATGGACATGGACGATGCACCCGGCAGCAGCTGCAGCGAGGAGAAGACACCGCTTCTGGATAGTGTGGAAATGTCGCCGATCAGTCCGACCGAACCGGAGGAGCCGGACCTGGACAAGCTCTAAGAGGAGATCCCCAACCGGGACAACAGTATACACACATACGCACATACAGACAAGTTTTGAGCAGCCGAAATGCAAAGCATGTGATAAAGAAACCAAAAATAGCAGAGATCGAAAGGGGAACCATCAAGTTGTAGAACTATTAGGCTAGGTATGAGATGGCAAGCTAGGAGGGGTTTTCAAAGGAGAGTTTTTGGGAGGAATCAACACCACTTTGCCATTTTAATAATAACCTCATATGTTGCATTATGTTTACATTAATGAGGTTATGAAAGAAAGAACCACAAGAAGACTTAAACATTATTTTCAAAATTTTAATTTATTTAATATTTGATATTCCCAAAAACTCTCTTTTGTAAAACCTCCCGCACTGTCAGTGTTGGTTTAGGTAAGGCAATTCTAAGCTTGGTATCACACAAACCACTGGACACCCACTTTCTATACACTCCGGAAAATATACATAAATGTAAAGTTGGGCTGCTTTCGCCTTCGCTAGATCCACACACACACTCACACCCAAAGCTTTCTTCTGGTAACAATAATATTTTTGTCTTTATATTGAACTTTAGCCGGTTGCTTTTACAGCAATGCGTAATTACTTAGAATATCTCTCCACTGAAGCTAATCTCTAGACTGCTAAGCCACAAGACAACACGGAAAACCAAAAGGAAGCCAGTATCCTGCTGATGAGTTGTTGCTTTTTTTTAACAAAATATAAACAGAGATAACAATTTTCGAATTATACGGAATTATACACTTTACTTGGTAGTTGATTGAATAGTTAAGACTTGAAAGCTTCGCAGCTTGGCGCATTGAAAATGTTTTACTGTAGCCTAAAATCGTTTTAAGCCCCCCCAGACGGGGTCGTATTTTAAATATATGCATACATTTTAGGGAACCAAAACCAACAAACAAAGGACGATAGGGGAGGAACGAGGCCGAGGACCACCTCTCCATTGAATGCAATTTAGTGGGGACTCCGAGGTAGAGTTCACAAGTTATAGAGTTACAACTTCTTTGTTTCGTATCCTCAGTTGGAAAACGTCACATAGGCAGCACTTCAACCGAGTTAAACATAATCGTATGAAACCGTAAATACAATACAGAAATGCAATCAAGTTTACTAAGGTATCGCAAGCGAAATATCACAAGGCCACACACAATCGAACACAAGATAAATATATACACCTTACGATCATAAATATATATAGAAGGTAATATTAGACGCACGCACTTAGCGAGTCGCACCCAACCAAGATGATCCACAACTCGACCCCGCCCAATCCATTCAGTGAACTCAGACGCCCCTACCTGTATTATTCGTAGTTAATGGACGCGTAGGACATTGTTTACGGGACCCCTAGTACGTACTTGTATTTCCCCACGATCGTGTAAAGATTCATTTCGCTTGGAATTATTTTACGGTTTACTTGTGTACCATATATGTACCCCAGAACATTTCAGAAATGGAAAAGCCCCGAGAGAAATAAATATTAAACGAGAAAACAATACATTTTTTAAAAGAGTTTTACTCAAGGGGAGTTGGTTACCCATTTATGAGAGTACCCTTCATTAAATATTAAGATAGTAAGGCAATTTTATTTAGCTTTTTCTCTTATTACTGTGTTTGTTTTGCTAATAGCAAATGACTTGAATTTAAAAACAGACTAACAAATAAATACGTGGCTTACGTTAATGCGTCAATATATTTATTTTGATTAAGATTCTCAACGAATATGACTAAGCTAAAGTTACCCTAAGAAAAGCAAAACAATCTCTTTCGTCACGAACATAATTAATTATTCGGTAATTAGTTTTTGTCACATGTGTTCAACATAAAAATAGAGCCAAACTTTATACTTTTGTGTGGCTTTCTTTAATGCTAAAAGCAACGTCATTGCTGTTTTTAGCATAAAATTAACTTCCGTCTTTATAAAAAAATAAAAAAAACCAAAGTCCAGATTATAAGAATCGAACTAGCGCGGCACCAAGTCCCATGGGCATTAAATTTTTGATTTATTTCAGAATTAATGCGCAAATTTAGCTAAACTTTATACTTTTGGATGGCATTTCCCTATGCGCATAATGCTGAAAACAGCGTTGTTGCCTTTTCAAGCATAAAATTCGCTTCCGGCTTTTCCTAAAAAAAAACTAAAGTCTAGATTATAAAAATCGAACTGACGCGGCAATGAGACCCTCGAGCATTAAAGTTTTGATTACTTTTTGGAATAATAGTAATAAAAGCTATGTTTTTTTTCTATATTATTTTGTTACTCATTAAATATTAATAACCAACAGCTTGGCAACCATTTCTAGTGTCGGCGATCACGCTGTGCCTTTTCCTTTGGGTTTTAGGAATTTTGATAATCGCCATTGAAAGCACGCCATCGATCGATAACGTTTGAACTTCGGGAATATGGGCGCTTTGGAAGGCTTTATAAACCGATTCGAGCTGTGTAATTCAGATCAGTTAGCTCCTCGCACTCAATTCAATCGGTTCCATCGCAATCCGCGCTTAGTTTCAATAATTCGGACAAAATGTTGTTCGCTGAATTTTTTCCTATCATAGGCCATACTTTAATTTCACTATTCGGGACCCAATCTAATCCACCCAATCAGGACTTTTGTCCTGGTTATTATTGTTCTAACACTTTGTCTGGACTCGACTGCCAACAGATTAACAAGCCTCTGCTCGATCAGCTCATAATAAAAGACAACCCGAAGCTCCTACATTGGGGCAACTGCCAACCCGATAACAGAACTGAGCCTCCTCCCAAGGACCTCGTCGTGTGGTTAAGCTACAAGGACACTAAAATTTTTGAGTTACAAAATAGCTATTTTGCCAACTACACCAATTTAAATGTGCTAATGATTAACAACAACTTTCTACAAGTGATACGAGATCAGGCTTTTGAAGGACTATCGCTCCTGGAGTTTCTACATCTGCCGAACAACTTTATTCGACATCTTCCGCAGAACGTCTTCCATCCTCTAGAGAAAATCGTTTGGATCGACTTAAGTAATAATGATATCTCTAGCCTTCCGGAGAACGCCTTTAGGTCCAATACAAAGTTAAAGGGATTAGATCTACGAAAAAACCCGTTGACTAAAATTATCCTTCCGGCCGGGAACCCCATAAGGAGCATCGATTACTTGCTCCTCAACGACTGCGACCAGCTAAAAGAGGTGAAGTTAGCCATTGACGTTCTCAACATAACTCTGGAAAACAGTGCAGTGGAAACCTTAAAGATCAGCGGAAGTGTCCAAAGCATTCGAGCGGGAAACTCACCGTTGACCAATTTGGACTTGCACGGAGCTACACTGAATGTATCCTTTCTCAGCGATATCCTCTGCAAAAGTCGGTCGCTGAAGCAGCTGGATCTGTCTTCTACCTCATTGGACACCATTCAGCTCTCCAGCGGTGACCTTTACTTTGACTGCCTGCTGCCCAATCTCAAGATTCTCAAACTGTCCAACAATAACATAGAAACTCTGCCAATGGGATCTCCTCTTTTCGGAAGCAAACTTGAGACCCTGGACCTCTCCTATAATAAACTACAGAAAGTACCTTTGGAGACCCTTAAGGAAGCCCACTCTCTTCAAAGCCTGAATCTCGACGGAAACCGCCTGACCAGTTTTGAGTATAAATCCGCTTATGATAAGTTCAAGAACCTGAGAACTTTGACCGCCAGTGAAAATAATTTTAACAACAAATTTTACAATGCCATGGTAGCTTATTCCTATTGGCAGTTAAGAGCATCGGATAGCAAGGCACAGAATGGGGTGGAGAAGCCAAAGGGTCAGAACGTAACGAATGTGGTGGAGGAGTCTACGAAGAAGAACGAAACGAATGTAGAAGAGGTGGCGACAAAGAAGAGCATAACGAATGTGGTGAAGGAGTCGACGAAGAAGAACGAAACGAATGTGGTGAAGGAGTCGACGAAGAAGAACGAAACGAATGTGGAAGAGGTGACGACGAAGAAGAACGAAACGAATGCGGAAGAGGTGACGACGAAGAAGAACGAAACGAATGTGGAAGAGGTGCCGAAAGTTACGAAGACGCCTGTAGAAGAGGAGCAGAAGAGCCAGTGCATCTGGATCTGGATCACAGTTCCCATTATAGTCATCCTGCTGGTTGCGCTGGTATGGCAGGTGATGAGGAATCGAGGCAGCGACTGCTTTGGTTGCCAGCCAGTTTAGAGCGACTCTAAAGCTTCATATGAACACTATTAATAATTTTTTTAATGTAGAATTACTTTTTATATTTTAAAGCCATATTTTTGCACTGTACTTTTGAGCCTATAAAATTAATCTTTTCATTAAAATTTACTTCTTAACCTTGATTTACCTCTGCCTTCATTTGGGTTAATGGTTGACAATAAAAGAGTGGTGAGCTCGTGGCTACGTTTTCGCCAAGTAATCGGAATCAGCAAAATCTGAGACTGGAAAGCCATGCGCCGGCTGACATATACTCAAACCCTTATCGGTTCGCTGTACTTCAAATCTCTGGTCTCTTGTCATTTAGTTTAGAAATTTATTTTCTTAACTATCAGCTCGGATTTTTTGTTTTCCTGTTGCTGAAAGTCAGGAATCTGCACAATAAATCCTATAGATGCCATGAATGGAAAGAAACCTACGTACAAAGAAAAAATTAATAATGGTCACCTTTATATTTTTCTGACTTTATAATTAAGGAAATTCATTGTATTTTCGAGTACTAAATTTTTTGGTGGTATGTATGGTATGGTAGTATGCTGATAACATGAATGACAGCAATTCCTTTCTGCCATTAGAGAAAAGAACAAAACAAAGTCCAGATTATAAAAGTCAAACTGGCACGGCAATGGGACATCGGCATCGGTTAGAATGCAAGTCACCGATCGATAACATTTGAACTTTGGGAGTATTGGGTGATTAAGAAGGCTTTTTAAATCGTATCAAGCTGTGTGATTCAGATCAGTTAGCTCCTCGCTCGTTCAAAGGACTATCACGTCTAGAGTTTCTACATCTGCGGGACAACTGGATTTGGTACCTTCCGCAGGACATCTTCCATTCTCTAGAGAGTATCGTTTGGATCGACTTAAGTAATAATTATATCTCTAGCCTTCCGGAGAACGCCTTTAGTTCCAATACAAGCTTAAAGGGATTAGATTTACAAAAAAATTTGTTATATCGAATTGACATTCTGGCCAGGAGTCCCATAAGGAGCATCGATAACTTTCTTTTCAGGGACTGTAACAAGCTTGAAGAGGTTAATTTAGAAATAGACGTACTCAACATAACTCTGGAGTATTCTAGGGAATCCTTGTGCTTAGTCATTCCTTAAAAGAATTCATTTGTTCGCTTTGTCTGTTGAGCTGATCATGACCTTCACCGACTTTGTGGATTTTATTTGATCAGTTACCAAACTAAGGATTCAAAATTATAATTAAATTTTTTGCAAACACTTGCTTTTTGTCCTAAGTCCTAACATATAGGTATTTAATTTTCTTTCGTAAATTATTTTATTTTTTATTTTAAAATATCTTAAGAATATTGTGTCCAAGTTTTACATCGATCAGAGGAAAATTGATGAACTTATGCAGAGTTGAACGAAGGTCGGTTGGTGTTCATTGCATGAGAATCACAAAGTTTAAAGCGCCCTCCTGAAAAATGCAATTTTGAAAATCGGTGTACATGATAACTCAAAATCTACTGATCCAATCGGTTTGAAATTTGGAACATAACTTCTTTAGATAAATCAACAGGTACTCACGTCGAGCTTTTTTAATTTTTAATTGTATTATATTTTTTATTTAACAAATTAACTAATTTTTGGAGTCAAAAATCGGGGTTTTGACTTAAAATTTTGATAAAAAATCGGGAAAAATTTTTAAAAATAAAAACGCTTCGTGAATACCTCGGGACACTTATCCTTTAATGAATGAGGTATAACTTTTGTAGATCGTATGATTCTGTGGACTGTTAGGATGTACACCGCAAACCAACTTTTTTTGGAGGTGACTCGGGAGATTCCCTATAACTCCTCTACCTCTAAATATTTTGGAATACAAAATTTATCAAAAATTGTTCAAATGTTGTGTTATTATATGGTATTTAATTTGTTAAGCTAACTTCAGCCGTTTCGCCACAACATTTTTTTGAAAAGTGGGCATTTTTGCACCGAATTAACCATACCTCCCCCCCCCAAAATCAGTGCGCTGTAGCTCCTCGTACCGTGTCACCACCTAGTGGCGGGGTCGGTCACCTGGTAAGCTGGGACTTTGTGGCGCCACCTATGCAGGTATTTGGCGATTCCGGCAGGGGCGCCACAGTGGAGTTCACATTGAACTACTTGATCGCCCGATCTGGCACTTTTGGTCGCTCGTTCACGTGGAGTATGGCAACGCTGGTTGCTCGGATCTAAAAGTTGCCAGACTTTTCGATCCGAGCTGCTTACTTTACACTGGGAGAATAAAACGTAGATTTTAAAAACCAAAAATTAAAATTTTTTATTCTCTTTTCTTCAAGTTCTGAGAGTCATATTTTCCAAGTTTGAAAAGATCTGTGAAGGGTAAAAAGTAGAAATTTTTGAAAAATTAATTTAATTAATTTAATTTGGCTTACAGTCTAGGTTTTCTTCTACAATCAGAGCAATTATCCTTATGATTAGGCCAACCTAAAGGAGTAATAAATACTCTTTAAGCTCAACATTTTTCATATTTTCAACATTATTATAAACATAGAATATAATTCCTTGTTTCCTACTATAATTATACAAATAATTTTAAGTACATTTGCTCTATCAAAAAAAATATAAACATTGCACTGAGATCTAGCGGACCCAATCGGCATCTGAGAAAATGTGAAATAAGCGCCTCCCATAGATTTCATAATTTAGTTGCCATATTTATGATTATGTCCTGTCATGTCCTGTGCGTGTTTCCTGAAGCAGCAGCGGCAGCAGCATCCTAAGCAAACAATCGATGAGCATATGACAGCAAACTAATAAAATTTACCACCCCTCCACGGCCTCTGACGAGGGTTCCATCATTCGTCCGCCTGTCCGCTCTATTTTTCCCCCCGTCCGACTGCCATTGTTTCAGGAGCTGCAATTACGGGAATTTTGGCAATTTTACGGGCACCGAGGACGAAACTGGACGGCGGTCAGTTTGACCGGCTAACAATATAATTTACAGCGCTTTTGTGTAGCGAGGCGTGAATTTAGTACTCAAAACTCAACCCCCTTCCTTTCGAAGTCCAGGGACTGGTCCAGTTAATCGCATTTGTTGGTTTTGTAATTATAATTCCGGCCCATGGAAATGATTTTGGCATTTCAATTTGTACCGCCCGACCGCAGGCGCAGGCGGCATTTTTCGACCCCTTTTCGTAGGACTTTCCCCCGCTGGTCACTTTCGATTTTAGAATTATACGTTATCCTTGGCGTTGGCGCAGGCGCAGCTGTCGGCTATCCTCCCTTTGGCAGTCGCGTGCCGCTTCGCAGCAGGACATTGTGTCCATTCGAATCTGGGCAATGTTTTCCCTCAGTTTTTCACCTTTAGAGTGGCAATTTCGCTGTCGATAGTTTGCCCAGCTAAAAGGATTAAAAGGACTTCTCGCGGTTGCCTATTGTGCTCAGTCAATTTACCGTAAAATTCCCTTTGCTTCTTTTTGTCTCTCGAATGTATTTTTATTTTTTATCTCCTTTGTTGTGGCGGGACTTTGTATCCTGTATCCTATATCCTGTATCCTTTTTCCAGAGTTTTTCCCTGAATTTCTCCGCTTTTTTTTGTGACTATTTGTCAATTGTTTTTTTTCTGTGAAAGTGACAAATTTCGGGATGTCCCGTCTGAAGATTTATGTGTCGATTCCGCCATTGAAGTGGTTCAGTGGTTGAGTGGTTCAGCGGTGGCAGGACAATTGCCTCCAGCTCTCAAGGGTTGAGGGGTGTGGCCGGTGTATGTGATCGAAAGTCGGGAGAGAGATTTATGAGATGGAACTACAGTTCTCGGGTCGAAATGATCGCCAATTCACCTTTTCAGGAGATCCAAAAAATTGTAGTAGAGGAAAATGTCAGAGTTTGATTGATAAGGTCCATTTTATACAGATAAATAATTCTAAAAAAGAATTGCAACATGAATCTGTCAACAAGTTGGCTATAATTACAGAATTAAAAAAGGTTTTTAAATGATTTTCTATTTCAAAAGACAAAACTTGATAGCTCTAACTAATCTCCAAAAGAAAAATGTATTTATAACCTTAAATCGATTTATTTAAGACTTTCGTTGGTTTTTATTTTTACCATTACTCCATAATTTTCCTTACTCTAATTCTCAAAACCTCTTAAACAAATGAAAAACTTCAAAAGCCCCAAACGAAACCCAGTTGATTTTGTGCGGTGTTTAGCGACCCGGTCTCGGACATGGTCAATGCCAAATGCCATATGTGTTAGCTGTCCAGTGTCCGATTTCCACTTGGCCAATGGCCATTTTCACAGCTTGGCGAGCAAGTGTTTTTTGTGTCATTTGGCCCGAGCTCCGCTTTCCGCACATTTGCAATTATTCTGGCATGAAAATTGAAAAACATGTTCTCGTCTCGCGCGGGAAACTCAATACGCGTGTGCGCGCCAACATTGTCATTCATTCATTCATTCGGCTACCAGTTTGTTCATTCACTTACCCGCTCATTGGATATTCAAAAAAACAAATTGTTGGCATGTCGATTTTTTTAATTAAAAAATATATTTTCAAACGGCGGGACAACTGCTGGGAAATTAGCCTCAAGTGCCTCGGATTGTCAAGCTGTGCGCCGGCGCGCAATTGAAATCTGTAGAGTCCTTCGGCCTGTCCAGCTGTCCATAAATCATGCATCTATTCCGGAGTTGTGTAACGCCGATTTCCCTATTTTTTTACGGCCTTTTCACGAGTGACCTCTCCGCGCTGACCTCCTACGTTCGAGGGATGTGAGTATAGTTTTTTACGTGGTGGTTAATCGTCCCTAGTCAAAGTTTTGTCAACGTTTATTTATGATTTCTTGCTGATTTTTGGTGGATGATTCGGATATTTTTTGGCACTGGAGTGAAGTGTCTCCATTGTGTGCAATGATTTTTTGGCTGTTTTGCTATTTTAAGAGATGTTAAACTGTATTTACATGTTTTCGGAGGGTGGGTTATGAAAATATGAAGGCAAAGCTGGCAGTAAAGGGAATATTAATGAGCTGGA